CCACCAAGGATACTGAGCAGTTTCCCCACTCTTCCCTCTCTGAAACCCTTGGCAAATCCTTCCCCAGCAGCAGCTGAAGTTGTTTGTCCCAGGGGATGCATCATGTTCCGGCATGGGTTCGCTCCATGCCCACTCTGGGGGAGAAGCAGGACCCTCTTCCTCCTCCAGTTGCTGGGAAGCAGCTCCTCTTGCTACCGTGCAAAGGCTCACCATTATTTTGGAGACCCTGATTATCACCGTCTGTCATGACTTATCAAGTTACACCCAGACAATTTGAGGCTGACCCCCAAACACTCTTAGAAATTACACAACAAAGATGTTCACAAGTAGAAACGTGCTCCCCAGATGGTGACGTCCTCAAAATCATTTGGGTGCAGATGTTTGAAGCGCGCTCCAAACACTTTCTGTGAACAATTTGGGCAAAGGAAGCTGGGCTATGCAGAAAGGCTGCCAGCCCTGCTTCATACAGCAATTTCAGAAAGAAATAGCTAATTAAAGCAAGTGCTGCTCTACCAGACATGGCATTCATTGTGCTGAATTTCCATCACCTGTTGTACTTCCTGATTTAAAACTTGGGGGATCAGCTTATAGAATCATAGAATGATTTAGGTTGGAAAGAACCTTAAGATCATCCAGTTCCAACCCCCTGCCACAGGCAGAGACACCTCACACCAGACCCTGTCACCCAAGGGTGACAATGCTTTTTACAAGACTGATTTTTAAGGTACATTGAAAAAAGGGTTGTTTTCTACCTCTTGAACTATGCAATCCTTCACCTACAAAGCTTTCTGTACCTCAGGCTGTGAGCCTGCTGTGCCGTTTCAATGATTTACATATTGTCTTCACCCTGAAGCCTCTTGCCATAGTCTTGTTTCAATCTCCTCACCCCAAGGTGAGGAGACACCACAGCAATAGGGGGTTAAACAGACAGAGAGCTTTAGTAAACAGGGACAAATGCTGAAAATAAATAAATAAATAGATGCACTAGGGCTGGAAGGAGGCAAAGCAAAGTGCAACACTATATCGGCAGTGCCACTTGCCTTACGCTTTTTGTTTCCTGAGCCATGCAAACAAGCTGTGATGATAGCGTTATCTGCTGACTGCACTGCTGACCCAGGCAGCCTCTCCCCTTCCAGCTCACCCAGCACAATGATGCAGCACAGCATAGGTGAGGATAAAGCGGAGATCTTTCAACCCCCAATCCTAAGAAACCACCGCCAGCTTCATCTCCTTTTTTATCTGCCTTGCAGAACAGCACAGAGGCTCAGGGACCAAGGGCCTTATCAATACTTGCGAATTAAACAGCTACTGGGGATGAGCCATGATTACATATCGGCAAGTTGTTCAGGTATTTTGTGGCCTGTGGCAATAACTCCACTCCCCAGCCATTCCCAGGCACAGTCAAGGACCTAATCTCAGTTGGCCCTCTGCACGGGGCCACCCTCTTTTGAAGTGGACAGTATTTTACTAGCACAGATGCAAGCTCTTCTGTGCTGGCTAGTCTCTTGTGCCTGGGAATATTCCAAGGTATAATTAATTTACTAATACAGAGGTAGTCAATAATGCTTCACAGTTATTAAAATGTATGCTATCTCTATTGACCAAGTTACATGCTTCTTTCATCAGTGTCAGTTTAGCAAAGATAAGTTCAGTCATCAACCTACAGGGCTGCTCTAAGTGACTTCTCTGGTGAGGTGACAGTAAGCATTACACTTATGTCCCTCCCTCTAGAATTATATGGCAAAAATAACTCTCTGCATGTAAAATACAGCTGGGATTCAACAGTAAATTCAACCTTTGCCTCAAGGGCAAAGCTTATATACCTGAAAAGACAGAGGCTTACTCATCCCCACTGAATTACTCATTAGCTTCTCCTACTTTCAGGTTTACTGATCCTTCACCTTGGCCTAACTGGAAGATTTGCTAACTTCATCTCAACTATATTCTAAGTCTGCCAGGGGGGTTAACTGACCCTTCATCACCCATTGTGAAAATTGTCATTTCCCCACTTCTTACTACAACTTTGACCCCAACAGGACATCCACCAGATCAGAAAGTACTTGCCCTCAGCAGATGGATAGTGTGCATGTGTCTGTGAGGAATCCATAGCAGCCTCCTAAAAATACTCTTACAGAAGGGTGTGGGTTGCAAACCACACATTTGAAAGCCCAACAAACTGTAATTGCAAATACATGTTGTAATGTGCATGCATAGAATCCCAGACTGGTTTGGATCAGAAGGGACCTTAAATATCATCGAGTTCCAACCCCCTGCCACAGGCAGGGACACCTTTCACTAGACCAGGTTGCTCCAATCCTCCTTCAACTTGGCCTTATGTATTTTGAATACGTAAACATTGGACATATAAGAATCCACATGGATTTATTTTAGAAGCTGCTTCTAAAAATGCGACTTACTACATAAAGCCCAAAATCATCCTATTTCTGTGGCTTCTTGGAGCATAGGTAAGTATCAGAACAGTAGCAGCCCTCTAACATGGAAAGTACCTACTGCTCCAGAAGGACCCAGGTACAAAATAAGGGCCTCTGTGCAGAGAAGAAGTCCTTGAATTTCAAATGCCTTGTGCCAGTCTGTGCAGTGAGGAAACTGTTCATTAAACGTCAGGATTAAAACTGCATGCTCCAAATCTATCAGCCGTTCTTCTTGTCCTAAAATGGTGCGTTTCAACATTTAAGAATCAGAACATGATTTCTGTCTCTGAAAAGCAACCTCAGGATTACTTTGGCAGCATTTCTGCAATCATTTTCATGTACAACCAGTAACAGTTAGGTTAAATCCTTAACATTTCTGTTCTTAACTATTTTTGTTTCTCTTGAGCATATGTATTATTTGATTTGTCAGGAATTGCTTATAGATGTTTCAGTTCTGTCTCCCAACACACCAGCTTCAAGCTGAGCCAAGCACACGACCACAGGCAACATATTGGCCAAAACTGAACTGAATTTCTTGTGGAGCATTTACTGGAGCATTTATTATGGACCATTACTTAGGAAGCCATGGCAGTGTGGTGAAGTTGACTGCTGCTCTAAAACCAGCACCTAAACTTGTAGTGCTAAGCATCATCTCATTTCTAACATGCATGTTCATGTCATGAAACCCAGAAGTGAGAATCACAGAGCTCTCCTATCATTTGCAGCCAGCATCCTTGCCTGGTATCCTGGAGTTATAGACTCTAAGTTTACTCCCAGGTTAGGGAGCACTAGGCTGCTTGCGGAGGAAGAGCTTTTGAGTGTCTGCCCTCTTTTGTTCCAAACACAAAACAGAAGTTGCAGCATTAGCAAACCCGCAGGTTAAGAACAAACTTTACTCATACAAAGGTCTTCAAATTATCCAAACTGACACAAGCTCCCTACAGCTGACACACACCAAGCTCAGAACAACAGGTTTATTAAAAAATACACTTTATTGACATTTAAACTTCATTTTGAAAAAAAAGAATATGACTGTACATAAGACCTTAAGTAATCTTTCACTAATAGTAAATAAAACCACAGTGGGATTTAAAATTCAGTGATTCAGCAATCATGGAAGTTAAATTTGGCACATTGTTTAAATCACATAATGAACAGAAAAAACTGGAGGAAACTTTTAAGCAACACAACTCCACGAATGTAACAATCTTACACAGTGACATCCCCATATCAAGGTATCACTATTCGAATAAAGTATTTAACATAGAAAGTGCTTCCACTTAGAGCAGTATACGTGGTAGAACCTATAGAAATCTTCATAGGTTTCGACTGATCTTTTCAGAAACATCCCTTTTACCTGCTTTCCATTTAGCGACCCATACTTTCCCCTAAGCTGTTAATGAATGACTTCCGAACCCTATTGATTTCTTTGTACTTTCTCAGGTTTAGAAGCCAACTTCTTTTAAAAGTTGGTTCATGTGGACTGTTTATAAAGAATGTATATATATAAATATACATATTTACATCTCAGGATATCTACTTAGACAACACTTCTACACAGGCCACAGAACATAAAATAGTCCTTGGAGTCGCTCCCATCAAGACATCCATAGGCTTTGGGTAGTGATCTTCACCTCAGGGAAAACTTGGATGCTGGCATATTCCCTTCAAAGTTCAGAATAAAAGGAAGCATTCAGAACAGTAACTGTTATAATCAGGTAGGGAAGGGGGAACAAAGAGGAAGAACTAAACAAGGTCAAAAAGTGGTTTGCAATGATAAAGTGTATCACACAGCAAAACCAGAAAGTGGGTGAATTTGAGTTAAATGGAGTGCAAAAATTTAACCAGTGCACAAAAGAGGTATTTCTAAACTGTACTATGGGTACATCACCCTCCTCAGAAGGCCACCAAAACCATCCTACTTTCCTTGAAGAGACAAAGAATATGAAAAACATTAAAAGGAAAAAAACACAGCTGTAAAATAACACAAAGAACACAAGTTTTCAACTGAAAACCTGTAAAACAAAGGCAATGCTCCTAAAAATTGCTCTTAGATGTAAAGAAAAATAACTGATGCTAAGTCAAGGCTTGCATTTAAGGAGTGACAGAAGGAAACCTTAACACTCAAATTGGCACATATGGTATAGATGAAAAGGTAACAAAAAATTGATTCACTTTACATAAAGACCTACAATTAATGAAGGCCAGTAAAGTGCTTTTGCATTCAATACTATGTTAATTCATTCCAGATTTTGCTTCTGCTCCAAAACTACCAGGTAAGGCTAGCAAATGTTTCGCTGTCATACAAGTAAGGTGATGCTTATGACTGGCTATGGATCAGAGGGACACACAACCTGGATAACCAGTTGAAAGTCACCTGTATTTTAAACAGATTTCTTTTGCTACAGATAATGACAGCCACAGAACCTGAATGCCATAATGATGTAATTCTAAGGGAGCACAGGAAGAGGACAGAGTAGCACAATCAAACTGCAATTATCAGAAATTTTACATTACTGAATTGGGAGGGGAAGAAATTAAGCTAAAGAGGCCAGACAAGAGATTCCATGACAGTGCAGTAGGCTACAAAACTGAATCTAGAACAAGATCCACAGATAAAGGCAGATACTTGAAATATATTGTATTTTGAAATGAGGTAAGCCTACTTCGAGTGAATTGGAAGAAGTATGCCAAGAACTGAAGGGAAATAAGCCAGTACAAAATACACACTGATTGGAAGGAAGTCTTCTACAGATGCAGAGAGGGGCCACCCAGTACAGCCAAGCTGTGGCACGTTTCAAACGAAGGAGAAAGATATTTTATTGTGGGACTAAAAGGAAGGATACCAGGTCAGAAACCTTAGCTGAATACCCTTAAAATCCCTACACAGGAAAAAACATGGCTCATCTCATCAATAACATAGCTCTGTTGGTCTTGCTTGCTTAAGCAATAATGCAAATGTTAAATCTGATTGTTTTCCAGACCTGAAGATTTCTATAATCCCTGGTATTTTCCTATTTATTCACAGGCAACAATTACAGTACATTCAACCAGACAAGAAAAAATGTCTAAGAATGTTACTTCATTGTATTTTGGGGTTACAACACTTTTAAAAGCTTAAAAAATAGATAAACACAGTTTCAACAAACACTGGCAGAACAAAGAAAGAGATGGTCCATTTTGTCAAATGCCCCAACATCATATACTTATTTTCCCTAATCCCCGAATAAACAACACTGCCATTCCATCTTCAACCATTTAATAATACATATAAAAATTACCTGATTTAAGACATAAATGAATAATTATGAAAGGGTACTTGTTTTTAGAGTATATCTGGGAAGCAAGCTCTCCCCTTGACTTTGTTGGTATTTTGGAAGCCTTTTATTCCAGATCTCAAAATAACCCCTGTAAATATATTTGTTTTAATGTCGAGGTTTAGATGTAAATAACATCATCATAGATGAAAATAAGGACAAAAAGGACAGAACTGTCTTACTTTATGCCACACACTTTTAAAAGACACAGCAATTCTTTAAATGTTTCCTGATTTACATTAATTTGTGCAATAACTGCCAAGCAAGATCCTGCTGCTTTCACCTCTGCTGCTAACAGAATCAGACTAGAGGATCAAGCTTTTAATTATATTAACACATAATTTAGTTTATATTATAAAAACTTACAATGGAAAGCTATAAAATATATTAATTTGCCCAAGAATCTGTTTAACTACAGATCTCAAAATGTGCTATTTAGACTGGAATCACTGGTTCAGTAAATACCATCTTGCAAGCAGCAAAATATCTTGCTGTGTGTTGTAATAGTCATTGACTTAATGTAATCATCCTTATTAATAAGAAATTGGCTGCTTTAAAGCCAGCCCTACAAGGAGGTCCTTGTGTTTTCCCAGCCCAGGCAGGAAATCAATTTGCCCTTTCTGTTAAGGTGTCACTGAAGTAAAGATGCTTTTAATTTATAAAGGTGTTCTCCTGAATAAACGAATAAAATAGCCTGCCCAGGCCACACATACCATTGAAAGGCTGCTTTTGACAGCAAAATACATTTGAAAGCTTCTGGATACAATGTGCATAGTTCCCTCTGATAATACTGCATATAAAATTTTAAAGGGACTTTCTTAATTAATGCACTATTAAATTATGTCTTCTTAGTAAAACTGTAGAATTTTAACTGTTCACAATAAACACATTAGCTTATTTATTCAGCATGAGTAATGACAGACACTCATTAAAGATACTGCAATCATCCTGTGCAATGATGAATTAAGACTGTGGCTATGATACCTTCTGTTGTCAAGAGAAAAAAAAGAACCACTGAGTTGTAATCACAGCAGTAAACAAGATAAAAGTTAACTGGATGACTGCCTGTGTTTCTGTTTGCTAGAATTGATACTAAAAGTATTTCTTTGCTTTCATGACGAGAAGTCTACTCTTAAGCACATTTATCTGTGATTAGGCTAGGACACCAGTAGTAGAGAAGCAAGACCAGCTTCTGCTCTTAAATACATTCCTTAAATACAGGAATCAGTCAAGAAAATAATGCAAGTCAAAACTCCCAAGTATTTCCCATATTCCTTAGACTCTCTAATTTCATTCACATACTCCACTGGCCAGAAGCACAAGCATTATGTTAAACATGAACTGTCTACGCAAAAAAAATGGGGTTTCAGGATCAGTAAAGCATCTCTACTGAAGTCCTTTATAAATATACAGTACTTCAGCCCAGTAGAATCATTAACTGGCCACAGGGCTTTCAGGAAATGGCTCACTTCAGCAGAAAAGGCCAGATTTTCATTCCCAGTGCCACTGGCCATTAACTGCGAGCATCAGTGCAGACAGCAAAACACCCCAATTCAGTCTAACAACAGAGACTCACACATGGTTTGGGAAGGAACTGTGTTAGGCTGCATCAGAACACACTTCATGGAAATATGAATCCTTATTTAGGTGTATTTTGGTTTACAGCTAAAGCAGAGAAAACTTTTTGCCACATCAGCTTCAGCTACAACCCCCTTCCCAGCCAGGACAGAATTGTTCTGTGAGAACATGATGCAGAGTAGAGGGGAATTGCCTAAAGCCGTGTACTGCTCAACATGGATTTGCCATCACAATTTTTCACATTTTTAATGCTATCTTCTGCCAGTGGGTACTCGATAGGTATTTCAACATCGTTTTTCCTGGAACCATTGTCTTTATGCACTGCAGAAAGGCAACTATCATTTTTCTCAGTATAGCCATTAGTTTTAGCCAGATGAGGTTCCCGCTGACTGCAGCACAGCTGAGAGTCACAAGCTTTTGAGATGCAGGGTGAGCTGCACAGTATCTGGGAGTTCTTGTGGTCAGTGTATTCGGGCTGGATGGTCACAGAATGGATCCCTGCATCATGGAAAATCTTCCGTATTTTATAAGCAGCATCTTGGTAATCGGCAGGGGTTTGGCACTTGATGTGAAGAGTAGCAATATTCTTCCCACCTGCAAGCTCCCAGACATGCACCTCATGAAGGCTGCTCACCCCTGGTACACGAGCCAGTTCATCAGCTGGAAAACATAAGAGAAAGATATTACAGGCTTTGGTGTACTGGGTAATTACTAGATTTCTCATTAAGAGCCCTATCTGAAAGCAGACAAAAGTACATTTACTCTTATTTTGTGCACTTACACGTATTTTATGTTTAGTAAAATACAGCTACTCCCAACTGCCTTCAGTTCACCTGCCAGATGGCCACACAAGCAAGTCACCCTTCCTTCTGGGTTCACCCATCCCTCAGGCTCCTTTATGGCAATTTACACAGAAGCAATGATAGAGCACCACTTCCTTGGCCAAGATCCCACATCTTCTGGTTTCCTTAGCCCTGAGCATGGTGGAATTCCAGCAATAACCAGTGCTACCCCACAATTAATTAGTGTGAAATATGCCAGAGAGCTACAAAATTAACCAGCCTTAATGGAAATTTCCAAGCTGTTTTGGAAGCCTCTCAGAAGAAGGGTTGGGAGATACTGCAGTTCAATGTTATTTCTTTCACAAACACCCCACACAAAGCATTACCAGCTCAAGACCTGGTACTTTTGATGTACTGTTAAGAGTACCACATTCTCAAAATGCATGCTTTAACTAATCCAGAGAGATTTGAGTCATGTTGCTAGGACACAGGCATGTGACTATTTCTCACTGTTCTTGAGAATTTAGAGCTGTTAGGAGTAAATAATCCAAACGTCATTCCAGAAATAACCTATGCATTGAAATATATCATTAGAATTAATAGCAACAAATTTGACTTACTCAGTAGTTGCATATTAACACCTTTGGGAACCATCTGCAACAAAATAGTTGAGGTCTCCTTGATAAGTGGGAATGCAGAAGACAAGATGATGAACACCATAATTATTGTGAGGCTTGGATCAATGTAGCACTGCCAGTTACACGGAGCATCTCCCAGAGGAAGTACATGGAAGATTGTAGCAGCAACTACCACAACCACAGATCCAAGTGCATCTCCCATAACATGCAAAAGAACACCTGAAACAGATGGCACAACTTCCATTAGTGGGGGTGAGGGAGTTTTTTTTGGGGGGGGAAATACGGTAATGCTGCATTTTTCAAGTCTGTTCCACTTGACATGTAAAAAAAGCAATTTTCCAGGCATTAATATCTTAACCAATACTTTCAGCAACGGCTTTCAGGACAAAACAGCAAGGGAAATGCTGACTGAACCCCAGCTGCTTCAGTGGGATGCATTATTAAACATGTAGGGTATGCTAGCACTGCGGTCCAACTGCAATGCCATGGCAACATAGAAAGTGTTGGCTTAAACGCCTGCAGATTATTAAAAGATCCTGGCACATTAAACCTCATTTCTCAATTAAAAATTGATGACTAAATATATCCATTCTACCCTGGAAGCTAAGAGAGCCACAGACCACTCCCAGTAATAGTTATTCTCCTCCGTCAGCTTCTATGACACTACAGAAACCTGAAAAGTTACCTACGTGAAAACTAAGCTCACTCCTATTGCTTCAAATACCCTCACGCTGATTTTGATATCAAGCGTGATTATTAGGCAGACTAAACCTTGTCCCACCGACACTACTAGCCCTCAAAGCCCCCCAGAAAATTGGAATTGGGTTTGACAGTCAGTCACATGGACAACATAGTTTATTATGTGCCTGGACTACTCTAAATTGAGAGGAACGCTGGGTACCACTTCTTACATCTAAGATATGTTTTTTGCACAGGGTCCTGTAATAACACATTTTAAGCTGCCCTTTCAACTACAACGACTGAAGTAGTCTTCTTGCTATAAAGTCACAATAACCCAAGAAATTTTTTCTTTTTATTACTTTACATCATTTTCCCTCAAATGCACTCTAGTTTTGTCAGTCTTTACTATTTAGACTCTGGTTCATTCAACCCATGCCTAATTCATAACATCTCTCAATATATTAAGTTCATTTCTTTGCCAATACTTCTTACTGTAAGCCTGTGAGAGACTGCAATGGACTATCTCCTTTCAACATCCTTATGACAAGCACTTTCAAGAGCTTCAGTCTATTGGAATCACTTCCTCTGGCTGGAGGGTCTGCAAAAGGCTCCCTCCCAAACTCATTAACAACACAGTGAAGAGTTTTGGCTGTTCGGTGGTGCTAGTCACTGGATTAAACCTACAGCTTTGCCTGTGCTGTTGTTTCTTGCCAGCTCTGTGCATGAACATTGATCTTCTGTGTGATAAATAAAGGCAATAACCCTGGAGTTACTCTGAATCACTTGGGTCAGATAAGAAAAGTACAAGCATCCAGTGAGTCCAGCTCTTTCTGCTGGAGTCAGGCATGTTCTGCCCTTTCTGGCAGACTCCCACAAAGCTTTACTCCTCCTAACAGTGCTGCAGTGTTCCCTTTTTATTTACAAATAATCCCGATTCAGCACAGGCTATCAGCTATTGCACGAACAAAAGGGACAGGCAGGATGCAATTGCCAAGGAAACGAACTGGAGAGCACAGCTTAAAGAGAACAGGAAAACGCTTCAGAAAGTCTTCTTTTGAATGAAGAATAAAGTAAAATGTGTCAGAATTTTGATAAATGATGAACTGAGAATACAGAATTTGGAGAATTATTATTTTACATTACTCGTATCATTAATATGTACAACTTAGTTGCACATCACATAATGAGGGCCTAGACAGAAATTATTTCACTGTTGATCTCCTAAATCTCTGGTTATTAGATAGAACTGAAAATTATGCTTCATTTAATAAAGCGAGTCTGGTAGGATGATAGTAACGCACAGTTTCCAACAGCTTGTGTTAGAAAGTCTGAACTACTCTGCATATGCTCAGGAAATAAAAGGAATAATTTTATACCACAGTAATTAGTACTGTTGGGCAGAATGTATGGATCCCTGTTCCTACTACTTTTAAAATCCATTTTCTCCAGCCATGTTTTTCAGGGAGGCTCAGATTCTGTAATATGCAGGAATTTTGCCAAGTGATCATGGCTATGCAACTAATCTCAAAGGAAAAAAAAAAAAAGATTTTGAATTTCTGTAGCAAGGAACATTTGTAAGGACAATACAAAGACTTTGCAAAGATGACACACTGAAGTAGCACTTAGAGAAAAAAAATCTCTTTCTAAAAACCAAAGATGACAGGTATCTTAAAATAACTGACACAAAACTCTTTATCCTTCAGACACCTTTCAAAGCTTCCAGCATCCGTGTGCTAAGCACTGTCATTCAGGCAAGTAAGGCCTTCTCTAAAATACACTCACTGGTTTCTTATTCTTTCCTCCTCCATACCCACTATAATGCCATAATATCCAGTGACACCGACCTCTACACATTCAGGAAAGTGCTGTGGCTGTAGCATATGGTTTGATTTCCAAACGGTCATCCTTGAAAGACAGGTGGACAGACACACAGAAAACCCAAGCAAACAAGTGCCTGACTGCCATTGACCTCTTGAGCTGAATTCACATGATGCCAACTTACAGGATTTTGAAGGAATACCAGATGCTGATAAGCAACCTCAGCAGCCTGAAATTATCATTCTGCTTCAGCTTTTCAACAGCCCTTTCCTTGGAGACAAACTCCATGTGTAATATAGTCAAAGATATCTGCTTTTGTCTCAGAGTGGGTATTTAAGTGTGTATACATAATAAATGCCTATACAGAGAGGGAGAGAGACACTTGGTTAACTTCTCCCTAGAAGCAGCTATGCCAGTTAGCTCCACAGGTACCCAGAGACCTGCCGAATTACAATGTAAGAAGGGTTAATCCTATCACAGACTCTCTCAGGGACAAGTTCACAGTTCAAGGACCTGCAAAAATACTGTGCTGGAGCACCACTTCCAGCACCTTTTTCCTCGTGCTGACAACAAAACCTGGGGATTTAAAGAAGTTCCATTTCCTGCCCTAAAGCATTTGAAAGCTGAAAACTGCTCAACTGATACAGTAGTAACAGCCAGCAAAGCACCTCACAGCTACCTGGCTCACCTTCCTATAAAGCCACTAGTGACTTGAGCTTAGGGCAATAGGCTTTGCCTCCCTTCCAAGAGGTCCAACTGCACTCTTCTAAATAATGAAAATCAAGACGTGAGCACACTCACAGCCAAATCAGCACCACACTATTTTGTTATTATCTATGCTATTTCATACAACCAAAACCTTTCTGCCAAAGATAACTGGGTCTACGTACACAGAAAAGCCCTGGGCTTTTGCTCCATTTATTACTGATATTTGGTAAAAGTAAACAGAAACCTGAAACGGAAATCAGAAAGTGTTTTAAAGTTAATGATAACATTAGCAGTATGCTCCCATGCTGTACCTCTGATGTTCAAGGCTTCGGACTTCTTTTCTTTTTTCTTCTCAGACCCCTCCTCAGGGCTTTTTTGGTCATTGGGTGAATCACCTGCATTCAAAGAAGAAACGCTGTGTTGTGTATAAGTTCTACAAACAGAAAAAACATCAACCTTCTCAAAACCAACTTATTTCAAAGACGACCTGAAGAGAAATAAAAACACAGACAACAAAGCAAGCCAAACCATTCTCCATGCAGCAATCCGAGCAACACCACCTCCTGTCCCCCCCCCTTCCCAGGCAGCCCGGTGTAAAGTACAAGGTGAAAGGGGCAGCGGGTGCGTGAGTGACAGGCACAGCCTCCGAGTGTCTTTGTGACCCTCCCCAGGGCCTATGGGTGGGCTCGGAAGGGTTAGGGATGAATCCAACAGGTCCCAAGGGAAAACAGGCAGGAGAAAGGGCACGGGACGGACGTGGAAGGGTGGGAAGCGGGACAGAAGGGGAAGCCTGGACGGCGAGGCTGCAGCCGAAAGGCACCTGCTTCATCGGCCTCCCCGGCTGGGGCACCGCTGGGCACGGCCGGAGCGGGCACCGCGGCAGGAGGGCGGCGGCGGCAGCAGACGCCCCAGTCTTGGAAGACGAGGAGCCCCACCAGGTTGACGGCGAGGCCGAGGGTGCCGACGATGAGCACCAGCTGCGCGTCGTCGATGGGCTCCGGCCGGGCGAGGCGCAGGATGGCCTCGACGGAAATGGTGAAGCAGAGCGCGGTGAGGAACACGGCGTTGCTGAGGGCCCCCACCGCCTCAGCGCGGCTGTAGCCGTAAGTGGCGCGGGGGCCGCGGCGGCTGCGGCGGGCGATGCGCCCCGTGGAGAGACCGACGCAGAGGGAGATGAGGTCCGAGAGCATGTTGAAGGAGTCGGACACCAGCGCGATGGAGTTGCCCAGGTAGCCCGACACCAGCTCGGCCACGAAGAAGCCGGTGGTAAGCACCAGCATGAAGATGAGGCGGCACGTCTTCCCCGAGTACCGCCCCATGGCCAGGCCTATAGCCGGTCCCCCCCCCTCGGCACCCCTCTCCGCGCTAACTCCGGGGCATGCCCCGCCACCGAGCACAGCAACCACCACCCTCCCGCAACAAGTGCGGCCGCCCCTGCCCTTAACGCCGCCGCCCGCAGAGCTACGCCCCGCCCGCCGCCCAGCCCCGAGGGGACGGACATGGGCGCCCGCCCCTCCCCTCTACAGCCGCCGGGACCGAGCGCTGCGCGGTGCCGGGGATCGCGGCGGTACGAAGACATCGCATCCGAGATAAACCCGCAATAGAACGGCCGTGGGGAGGCGCCGGACGGGGATGAGCCCTCTGGGGAAGGGCAAAGACATCCCGATCAAAGGGAAAGGCTACACTATCTTGTACAGCCGGGTCCCACCGCGCTGTCCAAAGGTGAAGGTGCTGAGGCGCTGGCACAGGGTGCCCAGAGAAGCTGTGGCTGCCCCATCCCTGGCAGTGTTCAAGGCCAGGTTGGACGGGGCTTGAGCAACCTGGTCTAGCGGAAGGTGTTCCTGCCCATGGCCAGGCGTTGGAACTGGGTGATCTTAAGGTCCTTTCCAACCCAAACCAGACTGTGGTCCTATAACAGATCGAGCAATTAAACTCCTTTAGCACTTTATTGGTTGTTTAAGTGCCAAATCAAAGCACAGAGTGCCACCTACAGAACAAGGTGATTTCCTGCCACTAGCCTTTAAAAAAGTATGTCAAAATAGTACTTCAGTGGCCATGAATCTATCACCATCCTACGAGAAAAAGAATTTCACACTTTATTTAACCTACAGCATAGTCTGTAAGAAGCATAACAAGTGAATAAACCTCTGAAATGTATTTGTAGATTATTAGTTTTGTTATGACAGTTCTTGGGAAAGTGACACCCCTGTAAGTGGAAGGAGGACAGAGTCAACTGCTAATACAGCACTGGGAGATGACAGGAGCAACTGGATAATCAGAGGAGGTTCTGCACAGTTAACTCATCCTCAGCTGTGGGTTCTTAATACCCAAAATAATAAGCTTAAATGAAAGACATGAGACCTAAAGAAAATAATGTCCTTAAAGTTGTATCCTGCAAGACTATCCTGGTGTATTTCAGTTATGCAAGAGGCTGGAGCTACTGCTTCAGCAGCTACAATTTACACTGAAATGCCACATCAGCCATTTCACCATGCTTGACAAAGCATACATCACTACCAGATAATAAACCAGCACGGCCAGGGAACGCTATCACATTCCTCCCACCTTCTTTACAACCAGGTATTCATTAAAGGCTTTAGGAGTTCCTGCTTCATTCTGACTCTGAAGCAATTGCATTGTTACTGCTGTTAATGCAGTTTGAGCCCTTGCCTGAATACATCTTTTAAATAAAGCCTCTCAATGCCACCTAAATTCTGTGTACACAACCAGACACAGGATATATCTTAACCTCTGCAGTGGACTTCAGTTGCCACTCAAGTGATAACCTCCTGCGTATCTTCAAGGCTTAACACACACAACAGATACAATTCACTGGAGATACTTGCACGTCCCTCACGCACTCAAGGCAAAAGCAATGGCAGTACCCTGCAATGTTCAACGTAACAAATGCGTAAAAATGAATGTGTTGAAAAGAACTTTACCATAAAGACAAACACAGCAGTGGGAGCATGTAGCATAGCTTACATCAACACACATTTCAGCTCTATAATTACATCTACTGACATAAGATGAGAGATTTTAAACAGTGATGCCAAATAGAAAGCAGTGTGAGATAGGCAGAACAAAAAGAAGATATACATAAGTTACAGGAAGTTAAATAGTCTGTTAGATACAAATTTTGAACCGACGGACTCTATCTGCTTTTCTGTAATTAATAACAGAAAATTCTGCCTCTGGCACTTCACTTACAATCAAAAATACAAATTCACTGAAGTTCATTGCACCTGCATAGAGCTGAAAAGCATTTTCAGCAGTTCTTATTTTAGGAAGATGTATAATGCAGTACCTGGAACATCAGCAATCCTGTTCTGCAAAAATATACATTAAATCTCTTTGAAAAAATCAACCCAACATCTCATCGTCCTGAACTCACTTCAAAAAACTAAAAATATCCCAGTTATTTTGCAGAAATAGTGCTAAAAATACTATTTTCAGCAAATAAGGCTGTGGCTAAGTCCTCTGACATGGAACACAACCACAGATGACACTGAAGAAGCCAGAAGCAGCACGTGTTCATCAGAGCCTCAGCTCTGAAGCCATGTAAGCTGATCCACTGATTCTTCCTTCTTCCACCTGTCAAGCTCAAGCATCTCAATCTGCTTCTCCTGGTAGAGTATCAGTCTGAAAGCCACACACTGAGATAGGAAGAGAGCAATGTCTGTGCTGGGTTACACTAGGGTCTTTCTCTGAACTGCATCCAGTTCCCATCTACATCTTTTGGAGATGAGGGAACTGAACCGGCACAGTCTTCAAAACACAGGGCAGCCAGAGATTCATGCAGAGTCAGAGGTCCCAACTGCCTCCTTTACTCCTCCCTCAGTGCTGCCCCACATTTGATTCACTTCTGTCTTCTGAACGCTTAGCAAACAATCTTATAGGACTGATAGTCTCTCCTGCTTTCTGTTTCTCGCCTTCTGACCAGTTATTTCATGATGTGGCAGCTTAGAAAGCCTCTTGGAAATCCAACTTGTGCTTATCACACAACGCATACAAGCCTCCCTACACTTCTTCATCCAGGTACCGCAATCACTTCAAGACAAACGACTCCTAAAACTATAATCTGAACAAAGCTACACTAACATTCTTAGTGGGGACGTTGAATCTTTCAATGGCAAGAATAATTAATTTAGCTCAATCCTCAGGATAAAGCATGTGTTAACCCCTGTAGCTTTTTTGAACCTTGATCTTCTTCCACATAGTCCAGAAGAAAGTCTGGATCCTGCATGTAAGCAGCACCAACACCCTTACCCTTGCTTGCAGCATCAGAACATTTCATCTCAAATCCTTTTACAAGGGAACTGTGTTTCTGACTGTCTTGCAGCATGCATGGTCTCATGTGTTTTACACTGACTGCAGACATTCAGCAACAGTATGTTACAGTTCCACTTGCTCACGCCATACTGAGATAGCCTGAGCAAGCTTTGTACCATTAAACCAATCAGTCCAAATATCCCAGTCTCTGCTTCTGCCCATGCTGAGTTGAACAAGTCTCTCTTAGGAGGTTCAGAAAAGGTTGTCCAACACCTTAGTTTTCTGAATCTTTTGCCAACTTTAGTTTCAGCTACAATACTGCTCTGAAAGCTGTTCTTGCAGTTTCCTCATCCTAATCAGGAGTGGGAATTGGTAAAATTCCTATTAACTGGTAAAATTACTGCAAACAAGACTGCTTTCCTTCTGAACCCCAAAGGTGCAAAGCACTCCTATAAGATTCAAGATTTCTGTGTACCAAGTTGTTGAAGTTCTCAGCACACCAATTTTTAACACTTAGCCATTGGCAGTCAGACCTCTAGCCAATAGGCTATCCCCACCTGTGGCCATAAAGGGATGCTTAGGTAACAGCAAGAGCAGAGTAAGTATATGTGACACTTTCCCATAATACTCTTCTACCTTTCAAGTATTTCCAGCTCAAGAGAGTTTCTGAGCTATATATCTGTATTAACTAGCCATCAATGGGTTTCTGGTCCATGTACTAGTGCAGCCTTTCACTCATTGATGCAGACTTCAACATTGCTTGGCAACAAGCTCCACACATCTACTCATGGTTTGAGGAATCACCTCTTTCTCATTGCTTTGAACTTGAATCCCACTAGTTTCATTTAATATATCCTGGTTCTTTTATCAGAGGACAGAACAAATAGTCGATGACTACCGACCTTCCCTATGCAGACTTCTGTCACACCCTCCTTAAGCTATCCATTTTCAAGGTGACAGGTTAAAATCTACTTAGTTGTTCCTGGCAGAGGAGCCATTATGAGCCTTTTAAATTAGGGTATCTCTGTGTTATTATGAAATACGACAGCACTAACAGCAGTAACAACAGTAATTTTCTTCCATTGCCAAATGAAGAGTGAAAATAAGATCACTCATGGCCTTGTGGTGCTATAGAATTTGGATACTAAAACAGATCATTAAAATGAAGAACTAATTGTGAACACTGTAATTAAGAGAGATCACTCTTCACCCTGCTTATCAAAGTCCTGGCAGAGATTACTTTTTAACCCATCATAAAAATGATTTACAAATAATATTTCATGAATTATCTGGAAGAAATTAGAATTAAAGAAACAAACACCCACATGTACATGATAAAGGAGTCATGCCTTTTTAAGACTGTGGGGATAAAAGCACTACGTTTGCACTAAAAAGCTGAGGCATATCACATTTAAAGGCAGCATCCCTACCTGTAAGCGCCTGAAATGCAGCGGGTAGGTAAGAGTGGACCTTTAAACAAGATCTCTGAAGGATCTCAACAAGCTTGTGAAGCTTGATGTTTTATATTAGGAACGCTGGGCCAAATTCACAGCAAATCTCAAACTGAAACCTTGTGGTTGGCTTCTGCCCCAGATAAGTTGGACCATGAAATGAATCACAAAACAAATACTGACCGTCAGACCTTGTTGCGGAAGATGGTCAGCATGAGAGTATTCCATTTGCAGGTGGTTTGTTCGTCTTTGTTTGATCATTTTACTTGTATCTCACTCTCATTCTGCTCACAGCCATACCTGCAAGAGGAGGATGGGGTTTCTTGGCATACACTGAAGAGCTAGGAAACCAGTTCATGAGGTTTGCTCCAATCTAGGGAGAAGAAGCCTTAGTTTGCCCTCCAGCAAGAGCTCAGCAGTCTGGGCAGGATACAGAGGTGAATGTCCCTGGCTCTTTTAACCACAGCTGTGACTCTTCGTGACAGTCCCGGGGAGAGACCATAGTCTGTCCGGACACAGAGAACGGATTTCTCATGCCCTTCCAAAGACAGCTTGAATACACTGGTAGGTCAATCTGAAATTATCAGCCTCTGGGATTATTTAATTCCTAGCCTGGAACGCCTTTTTTTCTTTTTTTTTTTTGTTAGGTATTTTTTCTATTTTAAGATGCTTGTTCAGTTTGTTAGTTATAAACCACCACTCCCTGCTCTTTTTTTGTTAGTTATAAACCACCATTACCCTGCTCTTAATACCTAGCATACAGAAAGCTTTTACATACCTTGAAACGTATCCAGTCAGTATCTGCTCTAGCACCCGGATAGCGCT